TGAGTCCCTAAACTAAAAATGGTGCAAATAAGCCTCCAAACTTCTAAAATGATACAAATTAGCTTTCAAACCCCTTGAAAAATGAAGTCAACCCTTATCATTAATGACCCAATATATGTGACCTCATGTTGTCTATCATTAATGACCCAATATATGTGACCTCATGTTGTCTATTCTTTTCCTTCACTTGGTTTTACTTTTTAATGTGAATGTTGATGTGGATCAAAGGAGCCCTTGGATACTTCCCTTTAAACCCTTCAAACCTAGCCTTTGATTTGTCTTGTTGAAGGTAAAATGAATGAACTCTTGGTGCAAGATTGCAAAGACTTGAAGCTTGCATGCAATTCCTCTTCCCCTAATTATAGTTTTTGATTAAATGGGTAGGCTTTGTTGTGAAGCAAAAGCTTTATGAAGAAACATAGGATTCCATTGAAGAGGAAGAAGAGCCTAAAGTAACAGTGAAGAGGTCCATCCAACCATTGACAATTAAGGGGTAGTGTCCATGTCTCTCAAAGTGTCATTCTCTTAATTTGTGTTTTGTAATGACTATCGGTAATAATACGAGAATAATTTTTTTACATAATTTTTATTACATGATATTAATTGTTTGATTATTGATGAATATAATATTATCAGTCCCAACAAACCAAAAAAAGCTTATTATCAGTAGTAATATGTAAAGTGATTTAAAAAAATTGTACAAAAAAATGTCTCTTAATTATTTTTCAATGAGGTTTTATCAATTCATTGATTTAGCCATGGCAACATGATGTGATGTTGGGCATATCATTGGGTTTTCAGACTAATGACCGTGTTTTTAGCCAACAACCCAATATTAGGTTGAGTTGTGCAAATTGCAAAGTATGCCTAAATGTCCATCGTAGAACATAGGTATGAAATGGGCTTAACAGATTCATGTTTTGTTTTGAAATACTATATTGTGCTATTGCTATAGGTTTTAATTAAAATTCAAGAAAGTAATGCACACTTTGTTTTGCTCAAATTGTACTTCACTTATTGGTAGAGGGAGTGAGCCCTTTGATATCAAGAGCCCATTCCTTCATCAATGGTTAAAAAAGCAAATTGCACTATAATATTTTTATTAAAATTAGTGAAAATATAAAAAATTAATTAAGAACAATAAATTTACATTTTGAAATAAGGTGTTACATGAAAAATGTCTATAAAAAGTATTGTTTAACGAAGTCTCAACCTAACAATGTATATAAAAGACTAAGAAGATTTCACTTGATGGATGAATTTGTTGATAAGGGTAGGGACAAATGGATGAGTTTGTGAATAAACAAATAATCAAGTATATACAGATGGATGGATTTATAGAGATACACAAACGAACAAATTTATGAACAAATGGATGGTTTTGTGGATGGATGGGTATGAATGAACTACTGGATTTGTAGATGGACAAATGAATAGATTTATGGAGATCGATAAGCATACGAATTTTTGAATAGATGGGTGAATGGATGGATTTGTGAATAGATCTATGGAGATGAATAGACAAGTTAGTGGACAAATGGATATCTATAAACGAATGAATATGTGGATAGATGGATGGATGCATAGATTTGGGGAAGGATGGATAGAGTGGTTTGTTGATGGATGAATGGATAGATTTATAGAGACAAATGAACAAATTAATGAAGGAACAAATTTGGGGATAGATAGAATGATTGATAGATTTGTGGACGAATTTATAAAAGTAAATGGATGAACTTATGGATTGATGAGTATGGATGGATGGACGGATTTATAGAGATAGACAGACAAATGAATTTATGATAGATGGGTAGGTTTGTAGATGAACATGTATAGAAAAACAAATGGATTTGTAGACCAATGTTGTCAAAAACAGTCACTTCACTGTTTAAAACGATGACATGAAGTGATTAAAGGCATTCCCACTTCGAATTTCCTAAGGTGTTCTACTTAAAAGAAGTAGTTCTAAAACAAGTGAAGCAACAAAAGCATTTTGATGTTGAAGCAATCATTTCTTTAAAAAGACCCTAAATGATAAAAAACCCTTAAGAATAAAAACAAAGTATAGAAACACTAAGGGTTAAAATTGAAATTTTGACTCTAATTAAGGCAAAAGCAGTAAGTTTCTATGCTTGCTGACTACCTCTTCCCCTCACTTGCTTTATGATTTCATTGTCTTTTGACTTTATCATCTTCCTAAGCGTCGATTTCATCAATTCATCTATAATTAATAGGAAAGTCCTTTCTTGTTTCTATTTTTCTTTTATTTAATTTGCATATTCTCCATCCTGTCTTGTCTTCTTCCCAGACTTCTTTTGCTTCCCTGGCTTTATCAACATATTCTCTATTATTATCTTAATTCTATGCATTTATTGTTTATCCCTCTATTTTTCAATTTTTATTTCTTGTTAGTAGAACTTCTAGAGTTCAAATCTATCTAGTTTAGGGGACTTTGATTAAGAAACTTAATATCATATTTGTACAATATAGATTGAAACAGTTAGTTTTTCACTTCATAAGACTCTTGAATTTAATTCTAAAAGAAAATTTTATCTTTTTTGCACTAAGTAAAGTAGAATTTAATTTATAAACCTATTACTTCTACCCTATTGTACTTTTCCATTCTAAATACTCTAAGTTTCTATTCTAATTAGTTCTATTTTATTTAATAATCGATCACTTCAGAGTGTTACTCGCTTCACTTCCAAAAAGCGATCACTTCACTTCTTGCTTCATTGCTTTGACATTTTTTAGGCCATCGCTTTACCTCATTTTTTGCCTTTAACAGCATTGTTGTGGACAAATGAATCGATCCAAGGATGATGGCCTAAAAAAAGGAAAAAAAAAAAAGGAGGATTCATGGATGGATAGATTTGTGGACAAACAAATGAATAGATTTATGAAGACTAAGGGTGCGGTTGGGAGTTTTTTCGAGTAGCCACACAACATTTTTAGATTTATGTGTATTTGATAATTTTTTTTCAAACTGCTTTTTTTAAAAGCCACAAAAAGTCAATAACTCTATAGTAATTTTATATATAAAGTCAAAAGCCTCATTTTAGAGCTCTTTAACTGTAACTTTTGCGGAGAGCTCTTTAATTGTAACTTTTACGGAGAACACTTAATATTTAATATAATCACAAAATTACCTATTAAAACTTAATTTCATATAATTTAATTATATCATAATTTATAATACTTTAATAATTAAAAAATTTTAAAAACCTAAATTACTAAAAAATAATAAATATTATATATTTTAATAATTATGTATGTTACAATATTTTATAAATTTTAATTAATAATTAATAAAATCTATCATATTTCATTTATAATACTTTTAAAAAAAAAACCAAACACCAAAATAACTTTCAGTCACAGCTATAGTCACAGTTAAGCACAGTCATAATTACAGTTACAGTTACAGCACTTCACAACAATCCTAAACACACCCTAAAGAGTAGACGGATTTATAAATAGATGGAGAATTGGATTTGTGAACAGACAAATTGATGGATTTATGGACAAATAAATGGATGAATTTAGGGATAGATATAGATGGATAGACAAATTTGTGGACATATAGATGAATAGATTTGAGAATGAATAATAGGCGAAATGGATTGTGAATGGTCAAACGGACATATTTATGGAGATAGATGAATGGATTTATAGATAAATAAAGGATGAATTTGTGGACATATAGAAGAAATGGGTATATTTATGGAGACTTACAGACAAATTTATGCATGAAGTGCTTTACTCGCCAAATCATGAGTGGGAATGGTTATTCTCACCAAGGCCACCAAATTTATGACCTAAATTGTGATAAAATCTAGTGAAAAAAAGTATGAAAATTTAGATTTAAAAAATTCGTAATTTTTGTTGTTTGAACAATTTTATTGGTGAATTTATATGACTAAAAACATAGCTACCCTCTGATCTCCATTTAGTTTCCAAAAAAAATTTGTGGAGAATAAAAGGTATGCATGAGTATAGAATAAACAAAAAAGTATTCACAATTTAGATTATTGATAAGTTATTTTTTCAACTAATAATTTTTATTTTATTTATAATATAATTTGAACTACAAAATATAAAACTCTAAATAATAAAAACTATAAAAGAATATAAAATTTTTTTTAAAAACATTTTGACATAAAACGAGTTCGAAACTCATCCAAAAAAGAAGGATGAACCTATCTAATGACAAAAATCATTGCGCTTCTAGGCCAGATAAGAATATAAAACTTAAATCACTATAAAAGAGGAATTTTGCTGATAAAGAAACTAAAGAAGAATTTTGTTCATGACTTCATTGATTAAATGAGCTTTAAAAAAAAAAAAAACTATCACTATTGTCCATAAATTGAAATAAAAAGTGAAAAAAATAAAAGTTGAGAGATTTTGGCATTTAAATGTGAGAATTATTTATGAAAAAAGAAACTCATTTTTTGCAATTTCATAAAAAAATTCTTTTCTAGTGCAGAAAAAGAAAAGCAGATAAAATTACCGTCCTGCTAAGAATGGGACGCTCTTTCCTTTTCTCCTTCAGAGTTCAGGAACCATCTAATTACAATCCTACCAATATCCACGACACTGGCGGCTCTTCCACTACAAGGGCATTATAGTCATTAAGAGTTTAATCTACCACAGGCCGCCCTACGGCCTGTAGTACCACCACCCTTCCTCGTTTCAACCTTCCCCGATTCCGTTTCTCGTCCGATTAATCGCCAAATCCTTCCGCAAATTCAACGCCACGTGGATACCTTCCATTTGCTGCATCAGAGCGCTTGTAAAATCACACGCCGTCCATCTAAATCGTAGAAATTACAAAAATTAGACAATATAAAAAAATGCAATAACTTTTTTTAAAAAGTGTATGTTTACCTATAGACACGTTTTTTCCCAAAACAAAATTAAACCCTCTCCCTCCGTATCTCATCAAATTTTCCCTTTGTTTCTCTGTCTATAGAAAACACCTTTCTCTCTCTTTCTCTCCCAAAATTAAAAAAAAAAAAAATACTTTCTCTCTGATCGACGATTAATCCAAAAAACGCACCGTCGTCCTCCTCCCGAATCGGACGTCGTAACCCTCACCTCCAGCCGCATCCACGCCGCCGGTGTCGATAAGCAAAACGGAACTCGAAACCATAACCGGCAACCCGGAAAACGGAAAACGACTTCCGTTTTTTCAAATTTTCGCGGCCGGGGGTTCGTTTTCCGGTGATTTAAGAGGTGCGCACAATTGTTGACCTGCGCACCCTTCCATTTTTGGAAAATCTTGACCTTATTAGTCAAAAACTCTGCTTATCATCTCTATGTTGATATAAAGGTTAGGCTATCTTCATTTTCTCAACGAAACTATTGGCTTCCTTTCTTCGCCGTCGATTTTCCGGTTTCATTTCTGATAGATTGTGAATTTAGGTTATCTGATTGTTATTAGAGGCTGGTTTTTCGGTTTAGGGTTCGTCAATCGGAGTTCTAGAGCTCGATTTTGTTCAATATCGTCTACAGAGTGGTGGATCTGTTGTTTGCTCTGTTTGATTTTCGCGTGTCTTCTTTATGGTGTATTGTTGCATTTAGTAATTGCTGGGATCGAATTTCGTTTCAATTGGATTGTTTTGTGCCCCAGGGCACTACTGAGTGCACGAATTGAGTTTATATTAATAGCTGTTTAGCTTCAAGCTTATTGGAACTCGTTTTTCTTATATTTCTTACTTTGTTTGGATCATGCTTTGTTCCAGAAAGTGATTTGGTGGAGTTTTTTAGTTGATTTTGAAGTTTCAGGCATCTTGTTAGTGTTTTAAACTTCAATCTTGGCTGCAGCTGCTATTACCTTTATTTTTCAGTTGAATTGTTATGCTTGTTGAGCTCATTTAACTAAGAATATTTTCACAACTTGACTGGTTTATCATTTTTCATTATAATGTTTTGGTATCTTTGATAACCGAAGAATTGTTGCCATTGTCTTTTTCTTATTTTTTATTTTTGTATTTTTCCTCAACGTTCTTATTCATGAGCTGCCATTGATCTATTTGTCATGCAGGTTATCAAATAAGATTGTGAAGGCTGCTTTGCATTCACTGCTGTGTTGCTTACAGTGCTGAAGGCGGGAATAATTTTCTATTTTTTGGATTTCTATGTAAGAGAATGGCTTTTTTTAGGAATTATTCCAATGAAGCAGTCTCACACAGTGTCCTAGAAGGGAAAGGCCAGGGGGATAACGTTAATAATATTATTCATAGTTCTGTAAGAAATGAGGATGTAGATGGCACATGTAGTGAAAGAGAATTTGATATGAACATGGATCTGCAGTATCAGAGTGATGGGGAGCCAGATGATACTGTTAGGCTGCAAGATGAGGAAGCTGTTGATGCTGGTGTTGGTAGAGGGAATTCACATGTTCAGCCTCCAGGCACAAGGACAGTTCCTGGAAGATGGGGTTCAACATTTTGGAAGGATTGTCAGCCCATGGACCACCAAGCTGAATTTGAGTACAGACAAGATTCAAAATCTGACCATAAGAATGTGGAAAGTCTGGAAGATAATTCATCTATGGAGAGGACTGGCAGATCAGAGTCTGAAGATGATGAGGGGCAGAAAGCCAAGGCTCAAAGGGTCCATTCTGATGTTCCTGCGGAGGAAATGTTATCGGATGAATACTATGAGCAGGATGGGGAAGGTCAAACCGATACAATGCATTACAGAGGGTTTAGCCATTCTGCTGGGTCGAACTCTAGGCCACAGTCGAAGGCTATGTCTGCTAACATGAATAAGTCTAGAAGTTCAAGAGCCTTAAATAATCGTGAATATGATTATGGGAATGACAATGACAACAATGATGATGGAGACGCAGATTATGAAGAAGAGGATGAGGAAGATGGTAATTTATTTTCCATTGGTACTTTTAGTATCAAATTTCTAGCATAGAGCATGGAGGTGCATTGAATTGGATGGCATGACATGTATTGTGATCATTCCAACAATGCAGAAGCTCTTACTTGTCTTCATTTTGTAGAGTTCCTGAATATTAATAATCAACTACTAATATAGATCATGGTAGTGTACCACTGTACTGAATTGGATGGATGGCATGTACCGTGGTTATTATAGACATGTAGAAGCTGTTATGTGTCTTCATTTTGGGGTGTGCCTGAACGTTTGTTCTTTTTTTTTGCAGAAGATGACCCTGATGATGCAGATTTTGAGCCTGACTATGGTGACACAAGCGGATATGCAGGGAACAAGGTTAAAGCACTTGCATCACTGCTGTTGCAGAATGATGATAAATTCATAGAGCATGATTTGCATTGAATATAAGATTTCTCTTACTTTTCCTCTGATTTGACTGATTATGGTGATTTAGATTTTCTGCATTGCACCATCTTAAGTAGCATTTCTTCTCTTTTCTTGGGCCTAATCAAGAAAACAGAATAAAAGAAAATATGAGCCAAATTAGCTGTGTCATGCAATTCTAGGACTTGATTAGCTTGATGCCATCGGAAATTGTTCTCTTAGTTGCTTAAGAGTTAGAAAAGAATTTCTTTGGGGTTGTTGTGTTATATTGTACACATATGATGTTATTCAGAGAGGCAAGAAATAGAAAGGCCCAACAACACAACTTGTTGGTTAATGTAGAGAATGTATGGATTCTTGGCAGCTTTATTTTTTAGGTCAAATCAGTAATGCCACATGATTTGTAGCTCAATTTCATGCCATTTGTGGAACTCTTGATTCTAAAATCTCAACTGGATGAACTTCTCAAGATTTGCAACCTTTCTTTCATTTGCTTCAACTTTCATTAAATTTTTGGAATGTAGAGAGTATAGGTGGAAAGATGGTGATTCATGAAAGATAATTTGTTCTTTGGTAAAACCTATATTTTGTGGAAGCTACTAATCTCCAACTAGGGAATCATGTAGGATGTTGCAGTGTCACCACCTGTGTGATTTTTCTGTTCACTTATGTTGTGCTTTTCCCAAAACACCAGGATAAAGATTGGGATGGTGGAGATACAGATGAAGAGGACAATAGTGATGATGACATAGATGTCTCAGAGGAAGATGATTCTTATTATGCAAAAAGGCCCAAGGGTAAGCAACAGGGAAAAGGTGGACGCAATATAAAACCTGCTAGAGAACGCAAAGCTCCTAGCAGACCTAAAAGAGGGAAATCATCTTTCGAAGAGGATGAGTACTCAGCTGAGGATTTTGATAGTGAAAATGATGAGAATTTCAAGAGCATGACAAGAAGAGGTGCAAATCTCCGTAAAAGTAATGCCCGTGCAACTATTTCAATGGATATTGGACGAAACAATGAGGTCCGGACATCTAGTAGGTCTGTTCGGAAGGTATCATATGTAGAGAGTGAAGAAAGTGAAGATATTGATGAAGGCAAGAAGAAAAAGTTACCAAAGGTGAAGGAAATCTACTTCTCTTATTAGCTTTAGTTGATCTCTGCTTTAATTTTAAGCTTTTATTTGTTGAAGGTGTGTTTGATTTTCAAACTTTTTAAATTGTTGTCACTGTAAATTGTAAACAAGATTTTTGGGTGACGTAAATGATAACGACTGACGTCTTTGGCCTCATATCATTTATTCATTTTCCTCCAAGCATAATCAGTATTCTTCTCTTTTGAGTCTTGTGGTACTGCAATTCTTGTATTTCCTAATTTCTTTGTAAAATTTTAATTGTTTAGGATGAAGTTGAAGAGGAAGATGGTGACTCAATTGAAAAGGTGCTATGGCATCAGCCAAGGGGTCTGGCTGAAGAAGCTATAAGAAACAACAGATCAACTGAGCCTGTTCTGTTAAGCCACTTGTTTGATACTCCACCTGATTGGAATGAGATGGAATTCTTGATAAAATGGAAAGGCCAGTCACATTTGCACTGTCAATGGAAATCATTTTCTGACCTACAAAATGTATGTTGTGTATATATATATATATATATTTATTTATTTGCATGTGTATATACTTAGACCCTTCTGGTTTTATTTCTCCTCTTTCATGTTTATGTTTTCATAAATATTTATTCATTGTTTGCAGCTTAGCGGTTTTAAGAAGGTCTTAAATTACACAAAAAAGGTGATGGAGGAAGTAAGGTACAGGAAGTCACTCTCACGTGAGGAGGTACCTTTTGCAGTCTTACACTAGCTTTTTGAACTTGAAAGAGTTTCTTTGACATCACTACCTGAAAGCTAAATCCATGTAAGCATGATTCAGCACACACATAATACATGCATGACAGTAAATCCATTGGTACTTATCACTTCTCAGGGGTAAATGGATAGAAATAAAATTGTGAAAAAAATGCCTAGCACTAAGTTCCAATGCTTAAATTGTCACCTTTGTTGATTGTTCCCTTCTTTCTTCCAATCTTTTTTTGCTGGCTTATTTTTGAATTGTAACGCATTGGAGTACCACTTGTACTCCCATTAATATAACTTTTGGCTTACCCCCCCCACCCCCGCCTTCCAAAAAAAAAGGAGGAATACAAAGCAAGCTTTGTAGGAGGATTGATTGGGAGGCATATCTTATTCTCTTATCTTTTTACTTTTAGATAGAGGTCAATGATGTTAGTAAGGAAATGGACTTGGATCTTATCAAGCAAAACAGTCAGGTTCGCTTCTGTCATTTAATTCTCTTAGCCTTCTTCTCTTGTTAATTTTGAATTTCAATAATTTATGTTTGAGTTCTTTGTATCTGGATAATGGATTCTCTTTTCAGGTAGAGAGGATAATCTCTGATCGGATTAGTAAAGATGGCTTAGGAAATGTGATGTCAGAATATCTAGTCAAGTGGCAGGGATTGTCTTATGCGGAAGCAACTTGGTGAGCTACTAGACTTCTCTTATGATTATTAACAGTTGCAGTTGATCCTCCATGACCTCGTCTTTCTAACTGGAAATTTTAGCTGTTTGTCATATACAACAGCTTAATTAATCTTACGTGAAATTAATGTCTTTTATCTTATGGCACTATCATTTCGTGTTGTACTTTTTCTTCATTAAAATTAATCTTATCCCTCATTGAAAACTTTAGTATTTACGCCAGTGGTTTTTTATCTGTTGTATCAGGGAGAAGGATGTAGATATCGCATTTGCTCAGGATGCTATTGATGAGTATAAGGTAGAGTATGATGTCATATATGCTGCCTTTATTTTATTCTTGTGGTGTAGAGTATAGGTTTTGGCTTAAAAAGTGCCCTTAATATTGTTTGTATTAACATAACTGTTGTTATTGCTGAATTGATTGAAAAGAAAAAGGGCTCTTGGAAGGAAAAATATCACTATTTTTTCTTGTTGCTGCTCCGAAGGAAAAAGTGGTTTACCCTTTGGCATATTTACATTGATTTGGCACTCCGAGCACTTGAACCTGTGTTTGTGCAATTCATCTAAATTTTTCCATTTTACTCAACCATGGTGGCAGTCATCCATTGCTGCAGTGGTGTGTAATATATATATATATATATATATATATATTACTTTTGAACATGTTTACTCCAGTGGCTTGCTTACTAAATTTGACAGTCTGCTGATTAACAGATAGTCTGAAGTTGAAATTAGTCAATACAAATAGAAATTTGAGCCTTAAGTACTCTAACTTGTGATATGAGAAGTTGGAGTTTTTAGTGAAATTCGAGCCTATGACTACATATTGATTCCTGAAAATGAATTAGTTAAAGCTTTTAGGTCATGGTCATAAGTCCAGTTCCTGATCCCTATCCCATACATTATTTCTCATTTGGGCCCATAGTTCCTATTACTTCCTCTTCATATATGTACCCAAGAATGCTTCACAAAAATGTGAAAATATATTTGTATATTAATTCAAGGTTTCTATTTGTCTTTATGGTTTCAGGCTCGTGATGCTGCAATGTCTGAACAAGGGAAAATGGTGGATCACCAGCGGAAGAAGAGCAAAGGTCTGTACTCCTTATGGTTTTATGCATTGTCTCAATGAAAAAATATTTAATCTCTGGGTACTCTTGTGATCTTGTTTTGTTCAGCAAGTTTAAGGAAGCTTGATGAACAACCTGAGTGGTTACGGGGAGGAAAGCTTCGTGATTATCAACTTGAGGGTTTGAATTTCCTTGTTAATAGGTATGTGCTTGTCTCTATTTCTTAAAGGATGTTGTTTTGTTTTACTTGAAAGTGGTTTACTTAACCAAGTTTTTCTTGAGGTCCATATTTATTATGTATCTTCAAATGACAGCTGGAGAAATGATACAAATGTGATTTTAGCTGATGAAATGGGTCTTGGTAAAACTGTTCAGTCAGTATCTATGCTTGGTTTCTTACAGGTCACTTCTAATTTGTTTGCCTTATAAATTTTATACTTGCCTCTTATTGTTTGCATTGAAATTTAGGTTTTTTTATTTTTTTATTCCAACAGAATGCTCAACAAATTCCTGGACCATTTCTTGTTGTTGTACCATTATCCACATTATCAAACTGGGCTAAAGAATTTCGGAAATGGCTTCCTGATATGAATGTTATCATATATGTTGGTACTCGTGCAAGCAGAGAGGTCAGTCATCTTTCCTAATATATAGTCTGGTTTGCTCAAATAGATTCATTTAAAATTTCAGAGTTACTTTCAATTGTATTTTAATCTTGTATGTTCATTTTCTTGATTGTATTTGTTTCCTTAATTTTTTTGATCAGCAAAGATGAAATTTTTGTTATTGGGAGTACCAACTCAATTCAACCAAGTGTGATTTTATTTTTATTTTTATAATCTTTGTTTATCACTTCATCCAACTCTTTGATAGGGCTGCATATAGATGCAGATGCATGTTGTGTTTGGCAAATAATGCTTTAAAGATATCCTGTTGTCTGAAACTGATGAAGAGATTATGTCAACCCTATTTCTAATTTATCTGCATAGACTGCTTGTTGAGGTTTTAATTTCTGTGTCGATTTGTGATATTTACCATTCAAGGTATGTAATTACATTTGAATGGTAGTATAATCCTTTTTTTTCTCTCTTCTTTCTTCCAGGTCTGTCAGCAATATGAGTTTTATAATGATAAGAAAGTTGGCAGGCCTATTAAATTTAATGCCCTACTTACTACATATGAAGTAGTTCTGAAGGATAAAGCTGTTCTATCCAAGATAAAGTGGAATTATTTGATGGTTGATGAAGCTCACAGGTTAAAGAATAGTGAAGCACAGCTGTATACAACTCTTTTGGTATGCTTAATTACCAATTACTTGATTTTGTGTAGGGTGCTTTGATTTGGTTATCATGGGATGATGTATTTCTTTTCTTACAGGAATTTAGCACCAAGAACAAGTTGCTGATAACTGGCACTCCATTACAAAACAGTGTTGAGGAGTTATGGTATTGCTTCTTTCCTCATATTACCATGTTCATATCCTCTACAGTTCATCTCAAGTTTAAATTCCATAGTAGCTTTAAAAAGAGTAAAGGCTCACAAATAAAGTTGAAAAGTAATTTATTATAGATAAACTTATTTGCTTGTTTTTCTGATTAAGAGGCTGCAAGTTTTTCTTATATTGGTATTCATTTCTTGGATTGGTATTAATAACAGGACTTCATCATTAAGGACTCAATTGTTTATCAGTTATTTAGGTGCATGTCCTCAAAATCTTGGTCTTACAAAAGATTAACAAATTGTTGCTGATATCAGTAATATATCTTCTTTCAATTGAACACCAGTGTTGCATAATTTTTAAGTACTAAAAAAAATGATGAGATTGTTTTAGATATTTTCTGTCATTCCTGTTAGTCATTGATCCTGTCTTAGCTGAACTTTTATACATGACCTAAAGAAATTTTCAACTTGTTCATATTAAGTGGCTAAATACTTTTCTTATTCATATCATGTCATCTGTCATTGTCTGCTGGATCTGTATGTCATTTTGAGTTTGATATTGCTCTCTGCCTCTCTTTGCATGTTTCATTCAATAACAATGCATTCTTTTTTGTACTTTTTTCACAGGGCTCTACTTCATTTCCTTGATCCTGATAAATTTAGGAGTAAGGACGATTTTGTTCAAAATTACAAGAATCTCAGCTCATTCAATGAAAATGAGGTAGAAGATGAAGTCACTTTTCAACCTCGAGAATGTTTCCTACTTTTCTCATGCACTTGTTTCTTGCTGCACTATTTATTTGATATTATCTAAAACCAACTTATATATCAAATTTTCTTGTAGCTTGCTAATCTTCATATGGAATTGCGGCCTCACATTCTTCGGAGGGTTATTAAGGATGTGGAGAAGTCTTTGCCTCCCAAAATTGAGCGTATCCTTCGGGTTGAGATGTCCCCTCTGCAAAAGCAGTAAGTGTGAAAAGACTCCTGGGGAAATGGTATTCCTTTTGTGGGCATTTAACATTTTCCTTCGGCTGGTTCAATCAATATAGGTACTACAAGTGGATTTTGGAACGCAATTTTCATGATTTGAACAAGGGAGTTCGTGGCAATCAGGTCTTTATCTTTCACATATCATATTTTTGGTTGTAGTCTTGCAGATATATTTGTCATTTCTTTGTTGGTGTCCTTTTTCCAAATTGGTTGCTCTGTTTGTGTGGACTTATTCAGTTCTATAGAACTGCTTTTGAAGATACTGACATCTTATAAGTAATTAAAGTCAATTCCTTTTGGTAAAATATAGAAAACTAAGGCAAATTGGTTCATTTGACTTGCAGGTTTCACTTTTGAATATAGTGGTAGAGTTGAAGAAATGCTGCAACCATCCATTTCTATTTGAAAGTGCTGATCATGGTTATGGTGGGGACACAAGCTTGAATGATAGCAGTAAACTGGAGAGAATCATCCTAAGTAGTGGGAAGCTAGTTATACTGGACAAGCTGCTGGTCAGATTGCATGAGACTAAGCATCGTGTTTTGATCTTTTCTCAGGTTTGTTCAAGAAACTTTGATAGCTCCTTGCAACTTTCTTACTGGAAGCTTTCAGGGACGGAAACAATATATTTCTAACCTTCAATGATGATACCAATAAAAAGAAAAAAAAAGCCAGCAATGATGACATGGTCACATGATTGTTGTTAAATTACCCTTTTCATCTAGCAGCTTAACTGGTTAACTTACTTGAAAATTGGCTACTATGTTTTACTATTTTCTATGTGAAAGACTTGTTAGTTTGGTGGTCAGATTTCTTCCAATTTGTTATTTATGTTGACAACTATCATGGCCGAATGACATGTCCTGGTGCTTAGAAACATTCATTGAGGACTGGTTAAATTATTTTGGTGGCTGTCCTGCTTTTTTTTTTTTTTTTTCTCATGTGTGTTTACTTGTACCTATGTCCTAGGAGTCCCCATATATTCCAGTATGGAAGTTAATAGGCTAAACTCTGATCATAACTGGCCATTGATTTTCAATTTAGTTAAATTTTGTCTGATAGACCTTGAGTAAAATTAGACAAACCGGCATACAGAGCTGCTGATATATTGATGGATGTGTTTGAAGTCTTATGTGAGCTTACTAGCATTGATACAAAAAATTCTATGATGTTTACTGATCGCTACAATGGCAAAACCAGATGGTGAGAATGTTGGATATACTAGCAGAGTATATGTCCCTTAGAGGGTTCCAATTCCAGAGGCTTGATGGTAGTACAAAAGCAGAGTTGAGGCAGCAGGCTATGGATCATTTTAATGCACCTGGCAGTGATGATTTCTGCTTCCTTCTTTCTACTCGGGCTGGTGGTCTTGGTATCAACCTGGCAACTGCTGACACTGTTATAATATTTGATTCTGACTGGAATCCCCAAAACGACCTACAGGTCTCAGATTGGACGTTCTTATTCTTTTCATTCCCTGCCTTATAATTTACGTTGAACATTGTGAAAATAGAAGTATCAAGCATTCTTATTTTTGTTTACTATTTAATCCTGTACCAGGCAATGAGTAGAGCTCACAGAATAGGGCAACAAGAAGTGGTCAACATTTATAGATTTGTTACAAGCAAAAGTGTTGAGGAGGACATCCTGGAGCGAGCCAAGAAAAAGATGGTTATTCACTTTAAGATGTCTTGGCATGTTCACATAAATGCATGAAAACATAAAATATATTTATAGTGTGTATGCAAATGTTGATTGATTTATTTGCTCTATTTATAGCTAATTAGTTTACCTATTCCTGACTCCTGATCCTTTTAGGTTCTTGATCATTTGGTGATCCAAAAATTAAATGCAGAGGGTCGACTTGAGAAGAAAGAAACAAAAAAAGGAAGTTACTTTGATAAAGTAAGGCCATGTCTTGAATTCATTGTATTAGAATCAAACCTTTATCTTTTGTGTTCCCTACATCTGGCTGTAGGCACACATTTTGTGGAATTCACCAGTAATCGTATTTTCCTTATCTGTGTGGTTAAAGAACCTAATATATTCATCATTTTTGTTCTGACTTTAACTTTCTGTTTTGTTCGCTGTTCCAAATTTGATGATCACTTTCAATGATTCCAGAATGAGTTGTCAGCAATTTTGAGATTTGGGGCTGAGGAATTGTTCAAGGAAGAAAAAAATGATGAGGAAAGCAAGAAAAGGTTGTTAAGTATGGACATTGATGAAATTCTTGAAAGGGCAGAGAAGGTTGAGGAAAAGGAGGGTGGGGAGCAAGGGAATGAATTGTTGAGTGCTTTTAAGGCAAGCAACTTTTTTTTTTGGTCTTCTGTTTCTTCCTTTGTCATTTCTCTATTAACACTATGCTTCCTGAGTGGTCTTTTTTTCCTCTTGTTGCTAGTCATATTAAAGAAAATATAGATTTACTAATGTCTTCAGTGCCATTTCAATAATATTCCAGGTTGCTAACTTCCGTAGTGCTGAAGATGATGGAAGTTTTTGGAGTCGTTGGATAAAACCAGATGCCATAGCCCAAGCTGAAGTATAATGCTGATTTTTCTTTCTTTTTTAATTTCCTTCTCCTTAGTAATTTTTTAGTTGTAGTCATGTTCATAAGTTTTTCTTTTCCTTTTAGGAAGCTTTAGTTCCTCGTGCTGCAAGAAATACCAAGAGTTATGCAGAGGCAAGCCAGCCTGAGAGAAGTAATAAAAGAAAAAAGAAAGGATCTGAGCCTCAGGTACCTCAGGAAAGAGCCCAAAAGCGGCGTAGAGCAGAAAACTCTGCTCCTTCTGCACCGATGATTGAGGGAGCAACTGCTCAAGTGAGAGGATGGTCTTATGGGAATCTGCCTAAGAGAGATGCATTGCGATTTTCCCGTGCGGTATGCTCTTTTTTTTTTCCTTATGATCAAAGTTTCCCAGCTTTTTGTGGGGTTATAACATTTCGTGTTCCTTGATTTATGTCTTTAGTGTTCCTTGATTTATGTCTTTTGTGGACATTCTTGCTTCTTCAGCTATCATCCTAATTCATTAGTAGGGAAATGCTGTCATTTATCCATCTGCATGTCATCCTTGGAATGTCTCTAATTGCTAGTATATGCTCTCTTGGTTATGTTAGATAGTGTAGACTAATTGTTACAACTTTTCCCTTGTTGAATTTCCTTGCAAATCAGGTTATGAAGTTTGGAAATGAGAATCAAATCAACTTCATAGCAGAAGAGGTTGGTGGTACAGTTGCTGTTGCTCCACAAGAAGCGCAGATTGAACTCTTTGATGCTTTGATTGACGGATGCAGAGCTGCAGTTGAAGGAGGAAGTCTGGACCCAAAGGTTGGTTTGAGTAAAATTCTTCTTTTGTATTTTGTTCCTTCAATGCTGGGTACTCACAAACACAGCCTTTTTTAGTCTTTAAAGATTGGCAATTTTGTGTTGTAATTACCTTCAGGGACCATTGTTGGATTTTTTTGGGGTTCCTATTAAGGCTAGTGATGTACTCAATCGTGTTCAAGAACTACAACTTCTAGCAAAGCGAATAAGTAGGTATGAGGATCCCATTAGACAGTTCCGAGTGTTGGCATACCTTAAACCATCAAATTGGTCCAAAGGATGTGGCTGGAATCAGAGTATGTATTTTTGCTTCCTCTTTATCGTTTTTCATTATTTTTTTAAATTTTTTCTTCTGGAATTACTGTATTTCATTATGTGGTTCTTGTAATTAGTTGATGATGCAAGGTTGCTTCTGGGAATACACTACCATGGATTTGGCAATTGGGAAAAGATACGGTTAGATGAAAGGCTTGGCCTGACGAAGAAGATTGCTCCTGTGGAACTTCAACACCATGAAACTTTTCTGCCACGTGCACCAAATCTAAAAGAACGTGCTAATTCACTTCTTGAAATGGTAAGCTGTGTTACTTGTAATTGTCAATCATATTATGGAGATATTACACAAATTTTGTCACTTTTGTCTACTTTGCTGTTAATAAGTTCTGTATGCTTGCCATGTTTTGCTATAGGTTTCTCATGGCTCAAAACTTGTGAAAAAAATTAATGCTTGTAGGCTCTCAGATGAAAACTTTGATTTTGATAATATGCTTAGTCAATTCAAGTTATTAACTTGAAGATTGATGAACTTTTTTGGTCACTGACTGTTTAGTCTTTCTGTTGTGATTAAATTAAGTGGTCTGAACGTATCAGATTTGTAAGAGTTGGCTTATAGCATGACAAAAATCTTGATATTCTATTTTTTTTTTTTTTTTTAGCTGCATAGATGTGTGCTTTTGGGGCACTTGCATGCATACGTGATGGGTTTTATGTCAGTATTTGTACTCTGTCCATTTAGCTATGACTTTTTTCCCATATCAGGAGCTTGCTGCTGTTGGGGGAAAGAATGCAAAAACTAAAGCAGGTCGGAAGACTTCCAAGAAGGAGAGGGAGAATGTTGTGAATGTTCCAGTTTCTCGCAGCAGAGACAAGAGGGGAAAACCTGGTTCCCCTAAGGTCAGTTTCAAAATGGGCAAGGACAGAGCTCAGAGGCCACAGAAAGTTGAACCTTTAGCAAAGGAAGAGGGTGAGATGTCAGACAACGAGGAAGTTTATGAACAGTTCAAGGAAGTGAAATGGATGGAATGGTGTCAAGATGTCATGATTGGTGAAATCAAAACTCTTGAACGTCTTCAGAAGTTGCAGACTACTAGTGACAGGCTTCCGAAGGAAAAGGTGCACTGGGTTTTGTTCTCTCCTGTTCCCCTTCCTCCTCTTTGTTCTTTCCTTCTTTTTTCCCTTTTTTATTTTTCTGTGTGCTAGAATTATGTATTTGATCTTTCTTTTATTTGCTTCCAGGTGCTATCAAAAATTCGGAATTACTTGCAGCTTCTTGGACGAAAGATAGATCAGATTGTGCTAGAACATGAGGATGAACTGTATAAACAAGATAGTATGTGTTTCTGCATTTCTGTGACTCATTTTGTTTGTATCACTTCATAAATTGCATTCATCAATTTTTTGTTTCGTTTTAAAAAATAGACTTTTGGATTCACTTTCTCATATCTTTTACTTTTTCTGCCTGGTTTATAATGTAGATACTGATATGAACTGTTTGACTGCATCTTAATATGATATGAATATTTACCTTTTTCATATTGTCAAATCTCTTGTAGGGATGACAGTGCGATTATGGAACTATGTCTCTACATTTTCCAATCTCTCTGGTGAGAAGCTGCATCAGATTTATTCCAAGCTTAAGAAGGAGCAGGAAGAGGAGAGGGGGGTTGGGCCCTCGCAGGTCAATGGCTCTATATCTGGTTATTTTGATAGGGATGGTGATTCTAATTACTTTCCTCCTCTCTCACGTCTTAGTGAGAAGCAAAGAGGGCACAAGAATGCAGTGGGTTATCAAATGTCTGAACCAGTTCACAAGGGTATTGATATAGCCAAGTTTGAAGCGTGGAAAAGGAGGAGGAGGGCTGAAGCTGAGTCTCATTCCCAACCTCCACCAACATCTCAACGACTTACAAATAATGGTAACCGAATCATAGATCCAAGTTCCCTGGGAATTTTGGGGGCAGGACCATCTGACAAGCGTCTTATTAATGAGCGACCTCGTCGGATGCGTCAAACTGGATTTCCTTCAAGGCAAGGTTTCTCCTCAGGCATTAAGTAGCCTTTTTGAGCCCCATGAGACGATTGTTGTTTGAAGTTGAAGAGTTAAGCTAATTGGCTCTGACCTGGTGGCATGCACTGCTTCAGCTAGTGAACATTCTCCGGGATTCTTTTTGACCATGGAAATAAAAGATCTGCAAATTCCAGTCCAGTTTTTTGCAGCTGATTGAAGAAATTAACAATCTGATGGGATTTGCATCCTAAAAACACGGCTGAGGAAGAAGGCCAAACCCAAGAGGATCGATTAACATAAAGCAAGACTAGCAGTCTTCGTTTTGTTTTTCTTCTATGAAATGAGACCAGTAATTTGTTCGAGTAAATAGTCAGAAATAGGGGCAGAAAAAGTCTCAATTCAATTTGAAATATAGGTGGATGAGCGAAACAATTTTTTTTTCGTGGAACTGGCAAAGACATTTTTTTTGTTTCCTAAGTCCAAAAAAAGTTGTACATTATCAATTTTGCTTAATTTTGTACTGTTTACAACACGCGAAATTGTTCTCGCGGTCGTGTTGTAAAAACTTTTTCGGCAATCCGATGATTAGTCTCAATACTTTGTAGTATCTGCCAAAGATTTTTATATATATATATATATGTATTCCGTACTTCAGAAGAGTTGATATCGCAATATTTGAACTGAGTTATTTCGTTTCAGTGTCAGGTTCCCAGATGCCACTTAATGGGTTGTTTTGAATCTCTGGCTGAGTCTGCGCAAGAATACTCTTTCGTTCTGTGGTCAGGATTTTTGTAGAAAATCAAAGGAAAAAGACGTGTGAGTGAGCCTCAAATTCAAAACAGAGGAAGGAAACAAAAATTAGGCAAAGAAACATGATGAAAAGGGGTATGTGGTGTTGGTTCTCACTAAACAGGGTGTGGTCGACAGCCGCTTTATCACTTTATCTTTCACTTTGATTTCTCAACCTCATACTCCCATTTCCGCAACATATCATCTTGGTAATTTAGTAAAAAGAAAAGGGAGAAAAAAAAAAAAAATCCAAACGAAACAATTCAGGGACCATCAGACCTTGGTGTTTTGTTCTACTTGGCGTAGGGCATACCACACCCACAAGAGTTGCTGCCAATTTTCATATGTAGTAAAAAAAAAAAAAGTGAAAATCTCGAAAATTTTAAGTTAATCTTAAGAGTTGATTGCTTAGTATCGTATTTTTAAATAATGTAGTTTCAAATATTTTTTTATTTTTTTTTTAAACTATATAATTTAATAAGTAATTTATATATAATATATATATTAATAAAATAAATATATATAATATCATATCAAATATCTGAATATGAAGTTTGGGAAGAGTTTCAAAGGTTGTTATGGTTTAAAAAATAAGTATATTCCATGTTCAGTCAATCTTTTCCGCAAGCTGCCTGGTCACTCTTATCCGCCACATGTGACTGAGTTGAGTTGGCGCCCATGAGGATATTGATTGGCTCTCCCGCGCTCTTTATAAAGAAAACCGAAATGCCTCTTTGGCTTATTACACACTGCCAGAGTTTCTGGCCTTAAGGCAGAAGAGCTCTGCTTATCCCCAAGTTTGTAGGAAGATTCTCTTCAGAGGTATGCCCATACCCACATACGATGTTATTCTTTGCTTACTTCAGTTATGCTCTTTCTCTGTTTCCTTTCTTTGCTCCTATTTCACAAGTTGTGGAAAGTTGAAATACCCATGATTCTGAGAATTTTCGAGGGAACTTGAAAAATAATGAAAAAAAAGGAGAAAACATACAAGAAGAGATTCAAGATTATGCCATGTCTACTGGGTATATTTTTTTTAAAGAGGATATATATATATTTTTTATCACTTATAGAGGATTTTATTCATCCATAATTTTGCGTTCTTAATTTGGTCCTGTTGTATAAAATAATTAGATTGATGGCTAATGGTCATACATCAAAAGAAACTAACTTGAGAGAGAACAATAATTTAATGTTTGTAAGATTGGTGTTTTGTAGTTTGTATATGGTCAAATTAGGCTAATTGTTTTGTATCGTGACTATAAGCAGTGTTTTAATCATTTTTGTGTTGAATTAAAGAAAAAAAAGGTTGTTTGAAGCCACTTTATAATGAACAAAGAACGCTCAGAAAAAAAAAGAAAAGTTTTCCTGATTCGAGGTAATTTCTCTTTAATTCGGTTCCAATTAATCAATTATACATGCTTAATATCTTTCTATCACTACTGTTCCTCGAAATTATACGGTTAACATTAATTCCAAGCAAAAAGGCAAAACTAAGAGGGAAATGACCAACCTTTTTTGTTCTAATTATGGATGTTCTATTATCCTTCTTTTTGCATTATTAGCTGAATTACTGTCAACAACACTGCTCAATTGGCTTCTTTTTAAAAGTATTTTGTCATTTGTTAAAGTATGCTTCTCTTTAGACTATGTTATCTTAAATGAATTTTTAGGAGTTGCAATAGTTTTTTTGACCTCTTTTGATTTTATAGAAGGCTATTTTATTAGTGGGGGATGAAGATTGACACTTGAATGGTTTTTTGTAGGAGAGATTTCTTGACGCTTCTCAGCATCACCAGTGGCTGTATTTTGGAAAGAAAAAAATGGATTACGTGTATGGACCAGGAAGGAACCACCTCTTTGTTCCAGGGCCGGTTAACATCCCTGAACCTGTCATTCGGGCTATGAATAGGAACAATGAGGATTACCGTTCTCCTGCTGTGCCAGCAATGACAAAATTTCTTCTGGAAGATGTGAAGAAGATTTTCAAGACCACTACTGGAACTCCGTTTATGATCCCAACAACCGGTACTATTTTCATGAATGCTATTTTAAGAATTTAAGTATCGAATTTTGCATGACCCCTTTGTCTCTAACAGCTTGTGAGTTTCCATCTCATGTGTTTTCAAATTTGAATGCTTTAATTTTCTTTACATTGTCAGGGATGTTTTATTAAAAGAAAATAGAAAACATAATAAAGTGGTTGTCTATCGATGTGTTTTCAAATTTGAATGCTTCGGTATTTTTAGTAAGCTGGTTCATGTATTAATTTAAAAGAGTGCTCTGAGGAAAACTTTTTCTCTGGTTTGGAAGGTAGTATAATCTTTTTCCAGCAAAGAACATTGGCTTGTGTGTTTTCTACTAGCCTTTTTAAGTTGATCTTGTTGTTTGGTTTCAGGTACTGGGGCATGGGAGAGTGCACTTACAAATACACTGTCACCTGGAGATCGGATTGTATCTTTCCTGATTGGCCAATTCAGTCTACTCTGGATTGATCAGCAGCAACGCCTCAACTTTAATGTAGATGTTGTTGAAAGTGAGTGGGGTCAAGGTGCCAACCTTGACATTCTTGCTTCAAAACTAGCAGCTGATACTGCACACACAATCAAGGCCATTTGCATTGTTCACAATGAGACTGCAACTGGAGTTACCAACAACTTGTCTGAAGTGAGAAAAATACTTGGTACGTTTTTATCATCATTAAGTTGAGAACTATAATTATTTTACACATGCTATTGATTGTTTCATTTCACATCTTTTCAGCATTTTAGTTTGCTTTCCTTTTCATTTTCTATGTTATCTAATTTTTGGATTTTTTAATATTTCTTTTCCATTCTACGCGTTCTTCTCAGATGACTACAGGCACCCAGCACTGTTTCTTGTTGATGGAGTGTCCTCCATTTGTGCCCTTGACTTCCGTATGGATGAATGGGGAGTTGATGTGGCTTTAACTGGCTCTCAGAAGGCTCTTTCTCTACCCACAGGGATGGGTATTCTTTGTGCTAGTCCTAAAGCTCTAGAGGCATCTAAAACTGCAAAATCTGTTCGAGTTTTCTTTGACTGGAATGACTACTTGAAGTTTTACAAATTGGGAACATTCTGGCCATATACCCCTTCAATCCAACTCCTATATGGGCTAAGGGCAGCTCTAGATCTCATTTTCGAGGAAGGACTTGAGAATGTTATTGCAAGGCATAGCCGCTTGGGCCAAGCAACAAGGTGAGCCATGTTTTGCATTCCTGGATTCATGACTTTGAATTGCCACAGAATCCAAGATACACTATCATTTTCATTCACCCTTTTCCATTTCATATCCATAGTTTCAGGTTTCTATTTGGTAATGTTTCGCTAGTTGATTGTGTTGGTCTAATGATCATTAAATGCAGGCTTGCTGTGGAGGCTTGGGGCTTGAAGAACTGCACCCAGAAGGAGGAGTGGTACAGTGATACCGTGACTGCTGTTCTTGTTCCCCCATACATTGATAGTTCCGAAATTGTTAGAAGGGCATGGAAGAGATACAATTTAAGCTTAGGTCTGGGCCTTAACAAAGTTGCTGGCAAGGTTTTCAGAATAGGACATCTTGGCAACCTTAATGAGGTAATACCCTACCAAAATTCCGCAAAACTTCTTTTAGTTGCTCTTTACTGTATTCCCATTTCCACATGTTACAATTTTTGGCCTCACAAGATGAATCTTACTGAAATGTTGCTTGTCCTATATATATTCCACTCTATGGTATAACAACTGATGGGATATTAATCTTGAGCCTGTGTTTTAATCTGTCCTAAATGTCACTGAACTAGTTCATGTCCTAGTGAGCTTTATGGCACTTCTGCTGCAGATTTTTGCTTGAAAACAAAAATTCCAAGGCAAGAGCTATAGAAATGCTTAGCTAAACATTTGCTTTGTTGATTTTATCTTAAGTTTTGTTTCCATCTATTATTTCCAGCTGCAACTGTTGGGCTGTCTGGCTGGTGTTGAAATGGTTCTTAAGGATGTTGGCTACCCAGTTAAGCTGGGAAGTGGAGTTGCTGCCGCCTGTGCATACCTGCAGAACACAACTCCTCTCATCCCCTCAAGGATTTAGGATTTGATTATCCTTCTGTCCGTTTAATTACTGCTTCAGGTTACTCTGTAAAAATGCATGTTTTCCCATTCCCCTTGCTAAATATCATATTCCAGATACACTACTTCTTGTGCTAATACCTTCTCTTGAAATTTCTTGAATTAAATGTACTGCTATTGTTCCCCACTTATGCATTCTTCAATTCGTTAACATAATTTTGAAGTTTATTATTAAATAATAACTCAGCTACGGCTAAACTTTTGTTGACTCTATTCAACACTTTTTTCCAAAAAAATAAAAAGACTGCAAATTAAGAGGATCTTCCATCAAATAATTGGTTAGTGTTTTACCATCTAAATTATAAAACATAATTTTATTATGATTTTTTTTGTATGTGTAGTAGTTTGAAAAAATGATGCAGGAAATTGACAATTGTGTCACATAAAAATCATAAAGAAATGGTGGATTTGAGAAAGTGTTCAATGAAATGGTTATCTCATCTCGATGTCTCAATAAATAGGAAAATAACATCTCTACCAACAATGGCACTAGAAGGTTGTGATTTTTTTCTCGAAAGAAGAATTTAGACAACCATGTCTCGGAATAAATCCAAATAATTGGTTATTTTCTTTTATGCATACATAGACTAAACTTTATACTTGAATTTTTTTTTTCCAAAGTATATAACGTAAACTTCTAATCAATCATAAAAAATGAAGAAAAAAAAAATCAAAAATGGAATGACAATAACCAAACTTCATTACTATGAAAAAGAAAAAAAAAGGTTAACAACCTTAACATGAGAGGTTGTTTTTTATTTAATAATATCAAATTAAAAAGATATTTTATAGTTTAAATTGTATATAAAAATTATAATTTTTATTATAAATTTATTAAAATATTTTTAATAAAATTAAGTTTTATATTATTTTATTAAAATATTTTATTAAATTCACAAAATATAGTCCTTTTAATATTTTATCCTTCTTTTAAAACATGAATCACGCTTAAAATTTATAGCTTGTGTCATTTAATTTGTAAAACTCAAAACTTTATTATTTTCCTAGTCACTTCTCTTTAAATTTGTTGCTTCAAGTCAAAAAAACGTTTCTTTTTCCTTCTCCTTTAAAATCGGAAGAAACGTGTTTGGGTTTGCTTAAGCAGAAGGCCTTCTACCAAAATCCGATTCCGCGTTTCCTTTTTTAGCAATTAACTTCAAATCCTGTTCTCCATTTTTCTGTCTTCCATTTTTTCTATCCAACCAAACACCCAACCAAATGAATTCTGAAACTGCAGAAGATCAGTTCGATCGTCTTCCTGATTCACTGCTTCTTCTCATTTTCAGCAAATTGCCCGACGCCCAATCCCTCACCGTCTGCCTCTCCGTCTCCAAGCGCTTCGCTTCCCTGATTCCGCTTTCCGACGCCGTTTTCCTTCCAATTCGTCCCCGCAAACGCCACCCTGCGCCCAACAGGGGATCGAATCTAAATCTGAATCTCTTCACGCTTCTTCGAAAGGAGTTGATAGCGAAATCACTTAGGTGTTTTAATTGCTTCACGGATTCCGAACCGGCTACTGATCCACACCGAGAAGAAGAAGAAGAAGAAGAAGAAGACGGTGACTGCTATTACTGGGCGAGACGAGTTTTGAAGAATTTCATAGGGATTAAATCTCTGTACATCGAGCTTCCCTCCCATGGCAGTAGGATCAGACCGTTTGGGAACGATTCCCTACTCAAGTGGCATGCTGAGTTCGGCAGCGAGTTGAAGAGCTGCGTTGTGCTTGAAGCGACGTCGTTTCAGAAAGGCAAGCTCTCATCTTTGGATCAAATTGGGGAGGAACACCAGATCCAGCAAACCCTAACTGAGGATGAGCTCACAAGTCGAGTGGTATGGACGTTTTCCTGCCTAATTTCCGCATCTGCAAGGCATTTCTTGTTCAAGCAGCTCGTAACAGAACATCCAGAGCTTCAGCAGGTTGTGATCTCCGATGCGAACAAGCAAGGGGAGCTTCGGATGGGAAGTGAGGAGCTTTCCGAGATAAGGAACTCACAAGAGGATTCAGAAATGACGCTGTGGGGGACAAGTGAGGTGCCGGAGAAGAGCTTGAAGTTATGGTATGTGCCGGTGCTGGAGTTACCGGTGTCAGGGTGGGTGATGAGAGGAGCATCACTTGCTGTGATAACTGGTAGTGATGGGGAGATGGAGGAGGAAAACGGTGAGGATGATCCGTTGGTTGGGTGTTTTGATGGGGAAGGAGAAGAAGAGAAGGCCTTCAGCGAAGCTGTGAGGAAGATGATGAAGGTGAAGGAGAGCTACTTGATGACAATAAGTTCCTTGTAAATGTATGTTAGAAAAATGTTGTTTCCAAATCTTTTTCATTTTTTTGTTGTAACCACTTTCAACTAAAAAAAGAAAGTATTTTTTCTATCTTTTTTGTACTCCTCAACATTCAACGATGGCCTCAATGCAATGCTGCGCAGACACATTACTCAAGCAAACTCCACATAGCCAATTCCCAATGGCATTCTACGAGAGCCCCTATGAGATCTGGAAGACACAGCAGCACCATGACAAGATTGTAAAGAAAATGGAAGAGCAAAGTTAGTGCAAGAAGGAGACTGATGAAAAGAAAAAGAAA